TCTTGGGGCACTGTTCGGGCTCCCTGGGGCTCCCTGGGGCCGACAAGTAGACTTTTGACTGGTTGGTCGCCCTCTTCGGTTCCTCGTGGTGCCGTCTGGGGGCCTTCTTGGGCCGTTTTGGGGCCCTTTTGAGCCGTCTTGGGTCGGGGGTGGACAGACCTCCTACCCTGACACGTCGATTAGTGAATTGTCCGTTTTCGCTTCTCGAGAGGGCGCCGCGGCCGTCATTTTCCAGGCTTGCGCCCGCCAGGTTTGGGCCCGAGGCCGTTTTCACTAAACCACGTTTTGCTAAAGGTGGGTCTGTCCATCCACGATTGGGGCCATATTAGGCCGTCGTGGGGCCGTCGTGGGGGGTTCTCTTGGGGTGTCTTGGAGCGGTCTTCGGGGCTTCTTGGGCCGTCTTGGAGCGTCGGAAAGCCCACACGGCGATGGTGTAAACAATGCACGTTTTACAAAGGATGTGAGCAAATGTTTGCGTCTAGGGACCCTCTTGGGACGTACCTTGGGGGCCTCTTGGGGGCGTTTTGGGTCATCTGGAGGCCATCTCGGGTGTCTTCGATCGCTCTTGGACCGTCTGGGACCATGTGAAACTCTCTTGGAAGCCAGTTGGAGCGCTCTTGGAACGCTCTTGGGGCCGTCTTCAGGGCTCTCTTGGGCTGTCTTCGGCGCCTCTGGAGCCGTCTTGGGCGCCTCTTGGGCTGCCTTGGGGCCCTCTTGGAGGCTTCTTGGACCGTCTTGGGGCGGTCTTGGAGGCCTCTTGAGCCGTCTGGGAGCGTCGGAAAGCCCAAAAGGCGAATTTGTAAAACATTTAGGTTTCACAAAGGAAACGGGCCAATGTTTGCGGCTAGAGGCCCTCTTGGGACGTATCTTGGATGCCTCTTGGGGCCTTTGGGGGCATCTAGGACCGCTGGAGGCCATCTTCGGTGTCTTTGATCGCTCTTGGACCGTCTGGGACCATATTGAGCTCTCTGGGAGGCGACTTGGAGCGCTCCTGGAGCGCTTTGGGGGCCGTCTTCGGGGCCCTCTTGGGCCGTCTTGGACGCCTCTTGGGCTGTCTTGGGACCCTCTTGAAGGCTTCTTGGGCCGTCTTGGGGCGGTATTAGGGTCCTCTTGGGCCGTCTGAGAGCATCGGAAAGCCCAGAGGCGAATGTATCACAATTGCATGTCTTACAAAGGGAATGGGCCAATTATTGCCTCGAGGGACCCTCTTGGGACACATCTTGGAGGCCTCTTGGGGCCTCTTGGGGACCTCTTGGGCCGTCTTCGAGGCCTCTGAGCCCATCTTTGGGCCAGCTAGAGCGTCTTGGAGCGCTCGTTTAGCGATTCGGGGCCCTCGTGGGCCGTTTTGGAAGCCTCTTGGGGCTTTCTAGGCCCGTCTTGAGGCCCTCTTGGGCCCGGAAAAGCTTCGTGGTGCGCTCGTCCCGGGCGAGGGGGGGGGGTCAAATCTGTGGTTTGGGGTCCCTTGGGAGGGGTTATGGGGGGGGGAACTATCTCACACGCCTAGAGACCACAAGGGGTCGGCGGATTTTTCCTGTTCTTGTGCCCCCCCCCCCCCCCATTTTGGAGTGCCCAGGCGGCCACATGTTTGATATCCCCCCCCGGGGGGCCCAAGAGGCTTCAGGAAGCCCCAGGTGGGGTCCAGGAGGCCACAGGAGGCCCAGGAGGAAGCCCCAGGAGGTCCCCAGGAGACCCCAGGAGGCCCCAGGAGGCCCCCGCAACTCGGAGCTCTGAGACGCCGCGCTCGAGGCGGTCCGGCCCGTTTCGCCTGAGACTTCCTCGCAGCACGTTTCGCCCGAGACATCTTCGCAACTCTGGTGTCCGAGATGCCGCGCGCGAGGTGGTCCAGCCCGTTACGCTGGAGACATCCTCGCAACTCTGGGCTCCGAGATGCCGTTCGGGATGAAGAGGTGGAGGAGGAGGAGGAGGAGAAGGAGGAGGAGATGGATGGGAGAAGGAGGAGGAGGATGATTTGGATGAGGGAACAAAAGGAGTGGGAGGAGGAGGACGAGGAGGAGTAGGAGGAGGAGGAGGAGGAGGAGGAGGAGGGAGACGGAAGGGAGTTGCAGGTTGCAGGAGAGGGCCTAACGGGAAGCGAGTGCGACGTGGACTTGACAGAACGTGTGCGAGAGGTTGTCCGGCCCGTTTCGTTTGAGACATCCTTCCAATACTGAGTTCCAAGATGTCGCCAAAACTGAGCCTCTGACAGTGCCGACCCGACAGCGTACTCGTCGACCAGGTGCGAGAGAGTACGACACCCTCTAGCATTAGTTTCTTGATAGGCATGCGTCACACAAGTTTTCGTGTAAACATTTCATGTGCAAACATCCTGTGATCATGTTCGAACATGCCATGCCAGCCCGCACTGGACGAGTACTCGATCGTCCTTGGAAACCGCAGTGGGTTGAAAAACCCTGTTTGGGGATCCTGCACTCCAGCTATCATTTGAAAATTGACGCTGCGAAACCATGCGTTTGTGAATTTGTTGTTTGGGCACTCGGTCTGTCATTCGTTACGAAACTGCCGGCTCTTTGACGGATTCCGGCATGCGCGCGTGACGACGCGCGCGCGTGCACTTCGTCTCAATGTTTGCAGACTGTTCTCGCGACGGCATGCGCACAAGGGCGCGCAAACGATTTCGACATGCGCGCGCGCGCGCGAAGGTCAATTGGTGATGAACAACCGGTTGTTTTCTTGGAAATTCGCAAGGGCGCGCGCGCAAGTTTTGTTTGCAGAATCCGTGTTGCGAAACCTTGTGTGCTTGTATATTTTTTTTCGATTCTCGATTTTGAAATTTGTAATTACGGGGTCAGCGGTTTTTACATGATTTCGGTATGGGCGCCCGACGACGCGAGCGTGCGCCCTTCGTCAAACCTTTTTGTTGCCAGGGGGTTCTCAAGACTCATGATTTGTGATAAAGGAGTGCGCGCGCATAGTGTGGTTTTGCACAGGTTAGCGGGGGGGGGGCACATGCCGTATGGGCTGGGATGGTACGAACTAGTTGTTGGGATGGACGATGGAGCAGACTCGGATGTAAAATGCAATACGAAAAAGGGGGACCGTTAATCCGGGGGGGTCGAGTCTAGTGGAGTAATGATTTGCGATGCAGTCTGTGCGGTTCCAAGCGACCCAGGGCAATGCAGTGCAGAGCAATGCAAAGCAATGCGACGCAACGCAATGCAAATCAATGCGACTGCAATGCCAGGCGATGCAGAAAAATGAACAGCCATGTAAGGCAAGGCGCTTCAACACAACGCGGTGCACAGCAATGTGGCGCAATGCAGCGCAATGCAAAACAGTGCAAGGATATGCGAAACAGTGCCGCGCAATGCGATTGCAACGGGGGAGTGCAATGAGGGGCGCGGCGGCGACGGGTCGGCAACGAGGCGGCGACGGGGCGGCGACGGCGACAAGAAGGCGGCGGACCCGGCACCGGGCACCAGAGCCCAGACGACGTGCGGCGACCAGGGCGACCAGGCGGCGACGGCGACACCAAGGCTGATCTTGTTGGGATCCCAGTGTGCTCTTAGTGGGATCCTGCACTGAGTGTTCGATGGGCTGAATATTCAAGAGGACGTCATGGCGCTGATCCCCAGGAGCGGTGAAGTCCATGGGCTTGGCCTTTTGGGGGCCCCTTGGAGACCCTTTGGGAACCTCTTTTTGGTCAGTTGAGGGCCTCTTCGGGCCTCTTGGGAGTTTCTTAGGCGCCTGCTGGCGGTCTCGGGAGTCCTCTTGGGGCGGATGGCTCCGTGTCAGTTTTAGTTGCTTGTCTTAGGCCCTGCTTGGTGCCCTGTTTGGGCTCTCATCGGCCGTCTTGGGACCCTCTTGGGAGTATCGTGGGCTTTCTCGGAGCGGTCTTGGGGGACTTTTGAGCCGTCTTGGACGCTGTTAAGACCAAGCGCGTGAATCTGCTCCATATAATTGCTCCCCAAATGGATTTGACTGATTATTGCTTTTGGGACCCTCCCGGGTTGTCTTGGAGTGCTCTGGATGCGTCCTTGAGACTCTTGGGCAGTCTTGAGGCCACCTGGCAGTTTCTGCGGAGTCCTCGGCGTGTTCGAGCCCGGCTCGAGCCAGCTGCGATGGTCCTGGTCCTGGACGCCATGGGGTGAAGGTGTGCAGACTCTGGGGTGCAGGTCTGCAGACTCTGGAAGTACCGGGGATGTGTTGGCGAGCTCGTCCCCCCCCCCCCCCCCTCCTCCCCGCGGCCATTCCCCCCCTCTCATCGGACTTCAGACCCCGAGGGAGAAAGGACCGGGAGAGAGGGGGACAGCCGATCATCCCTCGCGCCCTTCGCACCCCCGGCAAGCGGGGGATCGGCGGCTCGCTTCTTATGGGGCGGGCAGAGATACGGTGTCGCCGAGAGGTGCGGAGCCGACAGTCGTGCCGCAAGGTTGCAGCCTTTGGAGGATCCCCGGTCTCCCGCGAGACTTCAAGTGGGCTCCCGGAGGTCCGAGGGTGCCCGAAGGGGGGCGCCCCAGACGGTCGAGCAAGAGTGCCCCAAGAGGAGGCACAGGCGCCCCACAAGGCGCCCTGGGAGGGCCCCGAGGGGATCCGAGGAGATGGGCCCTGCCCCGTGCGTCCGCACGAGCCCATGAACACCGAGTGGTAACGGTCGAAGATGGCTTCCTGGGCGCGGAGCGCGCCAGGGGCGGAGCTCCGCGCTCCATGGAGGGGGGTCCACTACCAGCCTGGAGCATATCCCTATCCCTATCCCTGTGCTGGGCACCTCCTCATCACGATGCCCATCTTAGGGATTCCCTTATTTGTTGAGGGCGCATCCCTAAGGTTGTCACTGCCTTTTGGCGTGCCAATCTTAGGGATAGGGATACGTTCGAGGCTGGTAAGTCCAGCGCAGATTCAAGAAATCTTCGCGCAGGGCCAGAAGTTTATGGTCTTGAAGTTTCTCCGTTTTCTCCCTTTTTCTACTAAAGGGGAGGGGTTCTGGTTGCCCGCATGAGCTCTCTGCCAGCGGGCATCCTGCTGCTGCCGGGAGCGGTGAGGTGAAGAGAGCACCTCGAGACGCTTGGCAACATATTTCAGACCAGCGCGCTGGTTGATACCTCCTGCTGGCGCTGGCAGCGCATGACTGCGGGTCGCAGTCCGAGAAGGCTGAGCCAAGGCACGCGCCGAAGCTCCCTCCTGTCGGGGAAATGTGAGGCTCGAGTGAGCTGGAACTCGGGCTTGCCGACGTGTTTCTTGACCAGCGCGTCCTGGATGTTGACGGTCCAGTGTTCGCGGGACGTCTGCAGCGGGGGGTCGCGTCAAATAATTGCAGATTGGGTCTCGTCGTTTTTACGATGGCCCCGTCAGGCCAACCCGAGTCCCCCGCACCCAAGTGTTACGTCTTCCCGGTCCTGAGCTGGCGCAGCGCAGCACCTTCGGCCCTCAACCTTCCGCGCCCTCCGCGCTGCAGGCGCCGCAAGGGCACGGCCGCCGCAGCGGCCTGGGCGGCGACCGCCGCTGCGGCTGCGGCCGCGCCCCTGGCGCGGCGCCTGCCCCGCGGAAGGTGCGCAAGGAGGTGGAAGTCGAGGGTTGAGCGGGGCCCGAGAGCGAAGAAGAGAAAACGCCATGTACATAAACGTTTGGCGCTCCGCGCGGACTTGTGGGATCCGCGCTGGGCCCCCCTGGCGGCGCCGCTGGCGCCGTCCCTGGCGCGCCCCGCGCGGCGGGGGGGGGATGTCCAGCGCCAGGGATGGAGGTCCGCGCGGAGCGCCGATAATGTATGTTGATGCCTTGGCTTCTTCTTCTTCTTCTTCTTCAACTTCTTCTTCTTCTTCTTCTTCTTCTTCTTCTTCTTCTTCTTCTAAGAGAGGGAGAGGACGGGAAGGTTCGGGGCTCACGCATCGGGGGACAGCGCTGACGGGGGGTCAGAGGCCCCTTCTGGCTGAGCCGGGTGTGGAAGCCGCGCGGGGCCGGTGCCCCCGCTCCGCCCCCAGCCCGGGCCTGGGAGCCTGCGAAAATCGGCTGGCCCGGCCTCGCGACAGGGCCCGGGACGACCCGGGCTCGTGCCGACCCGGGTCAGTGCGTCCCCGAGGGGTGTTGAGGAGCAGCGCGCGGGCCGCTGTCGGCAACTCGGATCCGTCACGTGATGCGAATCGGAGGAGGAGGAGGAGGAGGAGGAGGAGGAGGAGGAGGAGGAGGAGGAGGAGGAGGAGGAGGAGGAGGAGGAGGAGGAGGAGGAGGAGGAGGAGGATGTAGAGAGGAGGAAGGGGAGGCGGATTCGGTGTGGAGAGGGGCATGTCGCATCACGTGGCGATGTCCATATGCCTACTGTGGGCCGATGAGTGCCCCTTCTGGCGCCGGCCTGGGCGGTGCGCCCCCCGATAAGGCATGGAGGCTTCGCTGCGGCCTAATCTTCCGGCCGTGTCGGCCACCGCGTCAGCGCAGTCCCGTGGCGGGCGCCAGCCAACGTGTCGCCTCGCGCCTCGTGCGTTCGACGCTTCCACGTGCACGGGGTGATTGTGATGGGCCGATTTTTCACCACCACTACCATCTGTAGGAGAGGGAGGAGGAGGAGGAGGAGGAGGAGGAGAAGAGGAGGAGGAGGAGGAGGAGGAGGAGGAGGAGGAGGAGGGGACCTTCCCATCCTCCCTTCCCCCCCGTCGTACCTCTGGTGGTGATGGTGGAGAATTGGCCCATCGGATTGGCCAGAGCTTTGGCGGCCCGACAAGAATTAGCGCCGCTTTTCTTTCGCCGTTCGTGTCGGCACCTGGTGGCTGCTATGGGCCAAGCCTGGGGCAGTCAAACAACGGCTCGGGATATCTAGAGTTTGTCCTGTGGGAGGGGTCTAGAGACCAATGACCAGCAATTTAGCAAGAATCGTTCCACGCCTGGCTTCGCTTGTACCTCGGTGCCGTGTGTCTCAGAAGGCCGTCCAGCGGGGTCCTTGCTGCTGATTTTCCTGCCTATCCGCCTCGGGAGTACTCCACGGTAGCAGCACACTGCCTCGAGTTCCAATATAATAGCAATGCTTATCCGCCTTCCATCCTCTTCTATCACCTCAACCTGCTGAGGCAGGAGGCTTTGTGAGCGGGGGCGTGCCCTCTGGGCTGTTCCCGCGTGTCGCTGACCCGCGTTTCTCGAGGCCTGACGTTGCCGCTTCGCCGAGGCTAAGCCACGAGGAAGAGGGGGGGTGGGGAGCGTCGCCTTGGGCTGGCCTCGAGCCGTCATCGGGCCTTCTGAGGCCGCCCTGTGTGCTTTTGCCTGGCCGCTCAGCAGTGCCCGAGCGACTACCTGCTCCGTTCACCCCATTCTGCTGATCCCAGGAGTCGAGGCCTCGCGGATTGGGCCTGATCAGATGGTTTCCCCATCTCGCATCGGCGATGACGCGCGATGCAGAGCCCGATCTTTTTCAACCCCGCGTCGCCAAGTACCGTCGATGCATCAGTGATGTCGTTCTGTCTTCGTGCCGCTTTTATTCCCAGACCTTTCCAGGAAGTCCGGCAAAAAAGAACAGGGCCACCCATCATCCTACAGTAAGAAGGGCCAACCGAAACATCGTCGGTCGGAAACTCTGCCTCGCGGTCTAGACTCGTGTGAAACGAGGGACATGACGTCTGTGCGCGGGAGGAGGTAGGGGCAGGATTAAGGCGAAAGAGGCGGAGGAGGAGCAGTGTGATATCGGAGGATGACTTTGTGTAGCAGTAAGAGCTCGGAATTATTCGCAGGACGAGGAGGATGCACTGGGGAGGAGGGAAGTATCATCCAGCTGCCTGCGGCAAACACCGCCACCGTGCCTGTACAACAGCGCAGCCAGAATGAGACCAGGTGTATGATCAACGCAGTTCCGACGACCGTTCTGAATTGCGAAGGGTCGTGAACTCGACTTCGTTTTCTTTCGCGTGGCGGTGGGAAGGTCGTGTTGACGCACTGCTGCAGTTCAACGAGCGGTCTGAACTGAGTCGGGTCGTGAACTCGGCTCCATATTCGACAAGGAGGAGAAGGCTTGTTAGGGGCTCTCGTTAGGCATCCTGGGAGCCTCCTGGCGGCCTCTTCGGGGCTCTTGGGGCGTCTTAGGGGCCTCTTGGGGCCGTCTTAGGGCCTGTTGGCTCGCCTGGCGCCTTCGGAGGCCGTCTTGGGCACCTCTCTCGGCCGTCCTGGTGTTTTCTTGAAACTCTTTCGGGAAGTCTTGATGTGCTTTAGAGCCGTGCTGGGGCTCTCTCAGGAGGCTCTTGGGGCAATCTTGGGGTGCTAGGCCGACTTGGGGCCCTTTTTGGGGGCCCCTTAGGCCGTCTTGCATCTCTGCAGGTCCTCTCGGAGCCATCTCGGGCCGTCTTGGGAACTTGGCCGTCTTGAGAGCCTCTTGAGCTGTTTTGGGCCACCTTGGGCAGTCTTGAAGGACATCTCTTGGCCGCCTGAAGGCCGGCCAGAGCGCTGGAGAGCAACTCCAGAAGGGTGCTCTAACGACGCGCGCGAGGCAGTGGGTGGGTCGGCTTTGGGAAGCACAACACACCTTTCAGACAACACACAGGCACTATCAATCCCACTCCGTGCAGACACGGTGGCGGATGATTGCAAACACTAGTGCAACTAATAGTCACATTACTATTTGATAATATTGTCATTCGTATTGGTGTTATGAAGGAAGTGCCCTGACGAGGTGTGTCACTCACATTGTGAAACGCATTGTTACGACGACTCGTCTCACCATACTTCTACTACTACAACTACGTTGATTGCTGCTCCTGCTACGACTGCTGCTGCTACTACTCCTGCTACTGTGGTTGATCATGATCTGGTCACGCGGTAGAGTGTAAATGGGTAAGGGTAGGGGTAAGGGCTCGGGATCGAGGACGGCGAACATGTTGTACTACTACTACTACTACTACTACTACTACTACTACTACTACTACTACTACTACTACTACTACTACTACTACTACTACTATTACGATTACGATTACTACTACTACTACTACTACTACTACTACTACTACTACTACTACATAGTGATATGCTGTTCTTTAAAATGTCCATTGGCATATAGGTGTACCATGTACGACGTCTGTGGGAGGCTACGATCGGCGCATCCCGTATTGGTTCCGCATTGTAAGACACATGGACAGTTCAATCTTTCTGAGATAGGTTGGGATCAGTGGGTGTCATATTTTTCAAATAGACATACATGTTCAATGTTCCAGATTTCTGCGGGAGGCTGGCCCAGCGAATTTCGGATTGAATTTCGACTGGGAAACACATACTATTATGAAGTAATTAAGCCAGAGGCTGGGGCCAAGCGCGTTTCCTTATGAATTCCGCTTGAATACCAAACAGAGATCATCAGTCATTTTGCTGGAGGTTGGGATCAGCACGTTCACACTGGATTTTCTGTTGGGGGCAACTGGTGTTATTCAAGATTTCTGCGGGGGGGGGGGGGGGGCGATCGACGCATTTCCTCATGAATTCCTATTGGGCGTATAGAGAGTTTATAGATTATGCGGGAGGCTGGGGCCAGCGCATTTCCTGTTAGATTCGATTGGTGAATTTATTTTGGCGAAGGGTTCAACGATGTGCAGTTGTGAATCCTGCGTTGTGGGTACTTCGGTGGAGCTTCCCATGGGGCCGCGAATCGCGTGATGGGGTGTTTTGTAGTGGGTGGGGAGACGCACGCGGCCGCGTCCAGCGGGGTCTTCAGTGGAGCTCCTGATGACGCGCTGTGCTGGACTGGGGGAGGGGGCGGGGCCGCAGGCGACCGTGGCCACTGGGGCCTTCGGTGGAGATCCCTATGGGGCCACGAAGCGCTGCACAGTTGGGGCCCTGAAGAAGGAACCTTTTTTGTTTGGGAGGGGCTCCGTGTTCCTTAGTTGCTTTACAGTGCTCCTTGGGTTTTCCTGAGGTTTTCCTTGGGAAATCTGAGTTTACTATGTGGGAAAAAGGGGCCTCGTTCCTTATTTATCGTTCCTTGGGTCAACGCCCCGATTGTACTAAGCGGGGGGGACGCGTGCGGCCGCCGTCACCGGGACATCCGGTGGAGCTCCCCCACGAGGCCACGACACGTTGCTGTGGGGTGGCGCGGGCACACGCGGCCGCGGCCACGGGGGCCCCTCCGTCGAGCTCCCGATACGGGTCCACGAGGCGCTGTATTGCGTGGCGCGCTCGCGTGCGGCCACGGCTCACCACCCGCCAACCCACCCCAACCCAACCCGAAGGCCCCGATTTGCCATCCATTTCCATTGGGGGGGGGGTCGGGGAACATCGACAAAAACACGTATGGAACACATCCCCCCCCCAACCCGAAATTCGGGTCTTCGGGTTGGGTTGGGGTGGTCTGGTAGGTAGTCAACGGCCACTGGGGCTTTCCGTGGAGCTCCCCATGGGGCCACGAAGCGCGTGTGGGGTGTAGCTTACCAGGGGCACTGGGAGTGCAGAGGCAATGATGTGAGGATGGGATGGGGGAGGAGGGGGAGGAGGAGAGAAAGTATACACGGGGCGCTGTTTCAAAACGAGGACCCCAAACCACAGGATAGGTGGGAGCCGATCCAACATTAACGAATTGTGAGGCTTCCGCAGGGGGCTGGGATTATCGAGTGTCATAAAGGTTGTTACGATGCACGCGGGATCCTCAGGAGACCCCAGGGTTCCCCCCGCTTCTCCAGGGGCCTTCACGACTCCCCAGGGTTCCTGGAAGGACAGCCGGATTTCTCAGGGTTATTCGGTGTCCCTCGGGAATCTTCGGGTGTCCTTGTAGTTTTGTGCAGGGTGCCTCTGGGCCCTCTTGGGATCCACGCCATTCCTTGGGAATTCAGAAACTGTTAGGATCCTGCAGGATTTGTTTTGTATTTCCCTTGGGATCCCTCGGAATCCTCCGGGAGCCTCAGGAACCTGCAGGATTATTATGGGTTCCTGCGGTTTCCACCGCGTTCTCTTTGGATTATCCTGGATGTATTAGGTTGCGTCTGGATTCATCCAAGTGCTTCACGACACCTCAAGACGATAGGTTTCGGTAGGTTTCCTCAGGACTCGTCAGGATCCCTCCCTAGTTCACTCGGGACTCCCGAGGAACGATCAGAAATCCTTAATATCAATATCGCTTCCAACATAAGTATCCAGGCTTGCATTGGATATCATATGTGTTCTTCTATAACCCCTCGGACTGGACAGTTGTAAATCTGAAGAGTTCCCCGTGTGACCAGAAGGCGACTGCAACTTGCCCTCTCACCATAAGAGTTCGTATGGCCCATTTGAGAAGGACACGAGCAGTCTGAAACGTGGCGCGTGACCAGGTGCTGTTCGGTGGCGTGTGGCAACGTGATTCGCCACCCTCGTATTACTACTGCTGCTACAGCAACGGGTACGATCAATTCTATATTATCACTCCTGCCACTACAACAACAACTACAACTATTACGACAACTACTATTACTTCTACTACTGCGACGAGTACGATGACTACTAGTTTTATTACCACTACGACAATACACTTACTAATTCGGTTGCTATTTTTCTATTACTACTACTCCTGCCATTACTTCTGTTGCTACGACTACTACTACTACTACTACTACTACTACTACTACTACTACTACTACTACTACTACTACTATTGCTACTACTACTACTACTACTACCACTACTGATCGCACAGTTAATGCCACTACCACTGCTATCACTTGTCCGGTCATTACGATTACTATTGCATGCACGACTACTATCACTGCTACTACTACTACAACTGCTTCTACTACTACTACTACTACTACTACTACTACTACTGCTGCTACTACTACTACTACCACTACGACGACTACTACTACTACTACTACTACTACTACCACTACTACTACTACTACTACTACTACTACGAGAACTACTACTACTACTACTACTACTACTACTACTACTACTACTACTACTACTACTACTACTACTACTACTACTACTACTACTTACTTACTTACTTACGTACTTACTTACTTACTTACTTACTTACTTACGACTCCCCACTACTATACTACTAACTACTCCCTACGGACACTACATTCACTATGACTACTACTACTACGACTACTTCCTACGACCACCACCACTTTTGCATTAATACTACTACTTACACGGACCGACTACTTACCACGACTATCCTCCTCGCCCCTCACTATCTTAATCTAAATATTGTTATTGCTTTACGACTACTACTGCCCCCCCACGATTACTACATACTACTACTAGTATCCGTATCTACGATTTACGCACCTACTACATCTTACTACTAATACTAATACTACTTACGAATAATACTTCTGCTACTACTACTACGACTGCTATACTACGGAACTATTACTACCACTCCACGAGAGTACTACTGACTATACTACGCACTACGACTACTACTTACGGCTCCTAGTATACTTTTCTATACTACTACTACTATTCACTGCTACTAATTACTTACCTGCTACTACTCCTACCTTACTACTACTATACTATACGATACTACTACTACTACTTACTTCTACTTACATACTACTATTTACTACTCTATACTACTACTACTACTATACGAT